CCCTCTTTTGGAGGGCCTTTGCCTCTATGTGGATCCCCTGGCATCCCATCCTCTTCTCGTGTTTCAGGGCTCCAGAGATAGCTGTTAGGGTTTAGGGTTTAGGGTTTAGGGTTTAGGGTTTAGGGTTCCCGAACAAGAAGAACCGAAACCAGTCCCTGAACCTTATAAACCCCAAATCATGAACCACAAACACAAAAACCCTCAAACCCTCTCGGGCCCGACGCAACCCAACCCTTGAGCCGCTACGTCAAAGGCAGTTCAAGCACACTTGTTGTCTTAGCGTGTAGGGTTAGGTTTTAGGGTTAAGGGTTTAGGGGTTTAGGGTTATAGTGCAACCAAGTAGGTCGATAGATAGCTAGAGAGAGAGATCAACCGATGGATAGATAAACAGATGCATGGGTAGAAAGATGGATAGGCTGATCAAACGACAGATCGACAGAGAGACAGACAGACTGACTCACAAACAAACACGGGGAGAGGCAGAGAGGCAGGGAGAAAGACAAATGGAAATATAGATCGACAGATAGGCAGATCGATAGACAGATGGTTAGGTCGGTAGGTAGGTACCAGTAAGTAGGTAGGTAGATAGGCAGACAAGCAGGTAGGTAGGTACGTAAATAGGTAAGTGGGTAGGCAGCAAGAGATCACGAGATAGACAGATTAATGGATCGATAGATAGGTAGGTAGGGAGATTGATGGTAGGCTGTGCATAGGAACCTACACCCGAACCTGGGTTTGCAATTTACAGTTATGTTTTTAGGCGAACCCGCTAAAAACCCTAAACGCTCTTCCTCCCCGCACCCACGCCAAACAAAAACGCTTCATAAACCCTAAACCCTAAACCCCTAAACCCAAAGCCCTTGCAGCACCTTCGTCAACCCGACCAGGCGGTTGAGCTTGTCCATCAGCTTGTCCACCTGCAACAAACCATAAGGGTCCAAAGGAGCCAATAATTAGGTAGGTTTCGGATGGTAGTTTATGTAGGTTACTATTTGGGAGAGTATATGATTGCTAGGTACTTGGACCAATAGAAACAGAGCCCTTTGTTATGCCAGACTCTGCAACTTTTAGCAGTTGGGCTTCCGGGTTCCGGGTTGGAGTTGCAGATCCATATTTAGCAGATTCAGTAGTTATCCTACAAGCTAGGGAGGGCTTGCAGAATGCAGATTAGATCTCAACCCTGAGCCCTAAACCCTTAAATCATCGAGACTTGATGTCGCAGGGTTGAGGAAGGACGTGAAGACCCGGATCTGTTGTAACCCTGAGGGTCCATATATACTACTATTATAACATTAGGTCCCCAAAGCCATAGTTAAGAAGGGTGGTCTTTTGGGACCTAATTCCATAATGGCAGTATAAATGGGACTCTTTGTAAACATCCCGAGAAGAACATGTTGCCTGAATTAAGGCCCAATGTCCCGTCTTAACACAGCCCTACGCCGTACCCTCGTATGGACCCTACAGAACATGTAGAACCTTGCGTCGAAGTTGAACCCTGCCTCCTCAACCCTATGCCCTTTGCGCTTAACGCACATTTTCCCTGGGTTTAGGGTATATCGCGCATATATTGGGTTCATAGGGTGGGTGTTGGCAAAGATCTTGTTTCAACAAAGGGTTTGTTGGTTCAGAGTTGCATCCCCAAACCTCCTAAACCCTAAACCCCTATACCCTAAACCCCTAAAACCCGGAAACCCATCCTCGACGCATGGAGCGTGGTCGAGGCTCGGGGGTGCTGGGGTCGGCTCTTCGGGTACGGTCTTAGGGTTGAGGGTTGGGGGTTCGGGGTTTAGGGTTTAGGGTTTAGGGTCTAGGGTTTAGGGTTCAGGGCTTAGGATTTGGGTTTAGGGTTTAGGGTTTGGGGTTTAGGGTTTAGGGTCTAACATCCCTGAGGGGCCATGTACTCACATGCTAGATATTCTGGCCCTAAAGTATCTATATAAGGACTATCTCAGGGCCAAAGCATATATTAATTTGGGTCCCCAAAACCCTACAACCCACTACAAAATCCCAACATTCCCAAAGTCCAAAATGTCTAAACCCTAAACCCGAAACCCTAAAAATAAACCCCACTACAAAATCCCAAGAGTGATTCCTACATCTTCAGCTGAACACGTGAAGCTCTTAGAAGGAGGGAGTCGCTACTTCGGGAGATTTGGAGTTCGACGGTTTAGGGTTTAATTAGGGCTTAGAGTTTAGGGTTTAGGGTTGAGGGGTTTAGGGCTTAGAGTTTAGGGTTTAAGGGTTTAGGGTTTAGGACTTAATATTAGGGGTTTAGGGGGTTTAGGGTTTAGGGTTTTAGGGGTTTAGGGTTTTAGGGTTTAGGGCTTAGAGTTTAGGGTTTAGAGTTTACGGTTTAGGGTTTAGGGTTCTGCCGGGTTTGCGTGTAGGTCCCCGAGCTTTATCGATTCAAGCTTGAGCACTAAGTACGGGTGCCACAGTATAACTTTCAGGACAAAAAGAGCGAAGTTCCGTGCTTTCCTTACCCTAGGCCCCATAAGCCCTAAACCCTAAAAAACCCTCAACCCTAAACCCTAAACCCTAAAAACCCCTAAGCACTAAACCCCAAAACTCCATAAACCCGAAAAGGGGGCTACGCCTGTAAGCCTCTAAGCTCTCAACCCAGCAGCCTCCGCACCCCAAACTGCACCAGACCCTAGGTTTAGGGTTCAGGGGTTTTTAAGGTTTGGGGTTTAGGGATTTCTAGGGTTTAGGGCTTAGGGGATCTTAGGGTTTTAGGGTTTTTTTTAGGGTTTAGGGTTTTTTCAGGCTTCGGGTTTCTTCTGGGTTGGGGATTCTTAAGGTTTAGGGTTTGGGGGTTTTCAGGGTTTAGGGTTTAGGGAATTTTGGGCTCAGGGTCTAGGGGATCTTAGGGTTTAGGGGTGTTTAGGGTTTAGGTTTCAGGGGTTGCTACTCTGTTGGAGAAGCCATTGTAGCCACCCTCACGCTACCCTTACAGAACCAGTAATTGAAGCCTCAAAGGACCCTCAAACGAACCCGGTAAAGGAACTCGATTAAATAAACTACGTATAAGCCTTCTATCCTAAGCGTCAGGTACCCAGATCTTCCAACATCCCATCATTACAGAATATAGCTCTAGTAGGATCACCAACATGGTTTGAGGAGTCTGCCTAAAATTAAAGGATTTAGGAAGATGTGGGAAACCATAAGCCCGCAGACTCTACCGTTTTAGGGTTCCTTAACAGAGTTGGTCTTCCTATATAAGTCCTGTAAACCCCAAACACTATAAAACCTCAACCCTAAACCCCTGAACCCTTATACCCTAAACCCTAAACCCTATACCCTAAACCCCCTAAACCCTATACCCTAAACCCTAAGTGTTCGGGGGACTAGAATTAGATCTTACCCTAACACCCCAGGTACCTACTATATAGGGTACTAGAGCCCCTAGGGCCCTATATAGTAGGTACCTGGGGGTTAACCCCCTAAACCCTAAACCCTAAACCCCTAAACCCTAAACCCCTATACCCTAAACCCCCTAAA